TCAGAACGTTTTAACATGTACCTGGCTGGCAGTGAGATTAGGAACTGTAAGGTGACGTGCACGGATAAAGTGCGAACTTTCTATTACAGAGTAGAGGCAAACGTTACGTCAACTGTGGCACCATCCACATCAGTAAGAACCACCGTCCCTATCAAACCAACCACGAGAAACGGCTTTACAATATCAACACCTTATTTAACCTCATCGTCAACTGTGACAGCAGACACATCATCAAGTTCTACTAGCTCAACCACACGTTCATCCGTGCTCACTACCATACCATCCGTGTCGCCCACCACATCTACCACAACAGTTAGTTCTGAAACATGGTCATCAGCACTAACTACTACGCCAACCATGTTGACAACCACAATTGCCGATTCAAGAAGTTCTGTAACATTCTCAATGGCATCAACTACCAAACCTTCCATATCTACAAACCAAAACGATCAAATGACATCTACATCAATCTCAACTACACAGTCATCTACTATACTTGTTTCACAAAATATATCTACTCCAACTTCCTCACCAAATGACTACACAACAAATTGTACAAAACCCTCTACAGACAACACGAACGACAAGAAAACTAGAATAATCATCATCAGTGTAAGCGTCGCGGGCGCTGTAGTTCTAGTTCTGTGCTGTATTGTTGCTGTTGTTGTCTGTAAACACCGCAAGAAAAAGGTACAAGAGAAGAAAGAATCAGGTGTAGGGGCACCACGTGAAACTCATGAAAATAAACTCTATCAAAACTATAGCGTCGAGGAAAACGCAATCGCTACACCAAACTCGAGTGAGGGGAAATCGAAAACGTCAACAAGCTTGATTACGAACAAAACTGGTAGTACATCTCTCAGAAACCATGAAACTGAACCTCAAAATGATGCTTACACGATATTAGAAGACGGCGATGATTATTATCGTACACCCAGGCAGTCTGATGTCAGTAATAGCAATGGATATTACAGCAATTTAAACATAATGTCTACACATAATGACGGTGACCAGTTTTCTAATAACAGTACGGATACGAACTTTACAATTCTTCAGTGTAATAACTATGAAAATGTAAACACAGTTGTACACAGCAACAGTTTAGAAACACCGAAAAAACATAATTACCAAATTTTAAATGGAGAAGAACGGCGTGAAATGGAAAACTCGTATCTACAGTTACTTCCTCTTGTAGAAGAGATACAATCAGAACAAGAGTCATCTTCCTATAGTCTCGCTAAACCTGTTTTAGAAAAGAAAACTCTTCAGATAATTGACGTAGAGGCTATAGCAGACGGTAATACAGATGGAATTACTGACCTACTGCCTTACAAAATACCACAGAAAGGAGATACATCTAAACACGAATCTAATGAAGACATTGCAATAGGTAGTTTGGGTTATACATTGGTTATGAGTAATGAACAGCAATAACATTAATCCAAGACGATCTGTATAATTTGAAACTTGCAAACATAATCATTGTTTTTATTGTTATAGTATGCTTCCTATTCTTGATTGAGTTATATGATAAGTTATATGTTTTCGCCATGCCAGACATGTACATATTTACATTTTACAGAATACAAAGTGTGCTGTTACATTTAGTGAGCTCTTTGCTCTATTTGTTTCTGTTGATCTTGGAACTTGAGAATGTTGAGATCCAATTTATTTTTTTTCTGATGTAATAGCACAGGGTGGAATTGCGGTGATGGGTTCATTGTTTTTGTTGGCTAATAATAGATACGAGCTGACCCGCGGTGTATCATACGCCGCCATTTAGTTTGTTTTTTTTTCTAGTTTTCAGTTATTCATAATTTGTGAATTCGACAGTAGCAATGCTGCCACTGAAAATATTTGCTTTAAAACACTAACACCCCCCCCCCCCCCACGTGAAAGCAGCCACCTCTTAGTTACCTCCTCTAAGTTTAAAATAGTTTCAAACTAAATTATCTGCTCCTAATAGCCGTCACCAAACCAAGCTCTATGATTGTAAAAATTTAGCGTGAACCACAGCTCACCAGACCATGTGATGGGGTGGGGGGGGTGAGGGGGGTGGGGGTGGGGGTGGTAGCGATAGAGAGGAAGAGAGGGGACTGTAAGGCGCGCTTGCAGCTTGTTTTCTAACGTCTCCCAGAAGAGAATTATATATAGATAGCCCAATGAATAGATAAAAGATATGTTGAGGCGTCACGCTTTTCAGCGCTGTTTTTTCTTGTGTTTTCACATTTATGTGTTGTGTATTTCTTCAGATGTGACCTCACTTTATTTATGTATTTGTAGAAACATGTAGTGATTTTATAGTTCATGTTTTTAGCTTTGTCTCTGAATTAGCTTGTGTATTTTTGGCGCTGTAAATGTGTAGGCCTTGTGTGTATCGCACTTAGAAATTGTCTTTACACGTGTTTTCGCACTAATGTTTTAAAATATCCGTATATTTACAGATTTCGGACTATACACGTATAAATGATAGCCGCCCAATAGTAATTATGCCACCTGTTTTTTATTTTATTTTTTTTTAATTTTTAATTCATTCTTATTATTTTATTTAATACAAATCGTTAAATTATATCCTATATGTTATAAATTAACAATCCATCTGCCAGTTATATTCTATGCAAGATATGAATGCATGATAATCTTTGTTAAATATAAATATTCAATAATTTACAAAGAAGTTGTCTGTTGTATCATAGTAAACAACAAACTAATAACCAAATGCTGCACGCATTCATTTGTTTACTATGTTTAAACACATTTCTTTTTCACTTGCATTTAAAAAAAATAAGTGTCTGTAATATAGTTTTAAAATATACCTCATGTTAACGTAAAGAGAGAAAAAAAAGGTGTAAGGGTTAATGTGAGTAAAGGAAATCAAAATTAAAATGTTAAAACATCAGTTTCTGAATTAGTATCTCTACAATCTAAACCCATCGTTTTAAAGACTAGTTTTGTTTTAGAAAATTATCAAACACATTCATAAATATATGATACTTGTGTTCTTACATGTGTATTTTTCTAATTCAAGCTTGACTTAAACATCTCTTTTTTTTCAAATCAATGGATAGAATAGGGATAATCATATTAAAGGAAGCTTCTATCGTCACAATGTTTGAGTAAACTTAAAGTAAATACAGCACCGATGTCAGTTGTAGTTACTGGGACAAAGTATTATGAGACCAGGGAAATGCTAAATATAGTTACATGGGTTTTCTTTCACGAAACGTGACCCAAGAAAGAGCAATATCCACTATTTTATATCCGCCACACATTTCACTCGCATTTTACTTTGCAACAACGGATCGCATATAAAATACATTTAGATTATCTGCTGACAGTATATGTTGTAATTTACACGACTTGATTGACTAAGGAAGATTATATTTTTTTTATTATATCCTAAAAACATTTTTTCGGAAATAGAAGATGTCGAGATATCAACCACCTTGCTTTCTGTTTGTAATGTGTATGTTCTGGATGATGTACCAGCCCTCAAAATGTTCAGTCGACATGGTGTTTTCTCCTAAGAACTACATTTTCGATGTTTATTTTAATAGTTCCACATTACACAGGTAAATATGATATACTTACAAATGATATTTATGTTTTAGTATAATTTAAAAGAAATAACTGTCTTTATGCATCATTCAATAAATATAATAATAAGACAACAGTTTAACAATGTGTTTTTTCACATCCAGTTGCAAATTGTTTTCTATTTACTAGTTCACTATCATCGTATTTTGAGATAATTATATAACGTATTTTGTTACATGTAAAAATTTACTTTAAAAAAATTAATTGGTATAATTTGTTTTAAACAAATTCATTAAAATATCTGAAACTATGAAATGATATTATAAATACGCCACTTAACCATAACTGTATTTCTAAAAAAAAGATAAACATTAATAAACCGTGAGCGATCTCCCCTAAACTTTCTCGAATATTCTTTCATAAAAAAACAGGGGATGGGAACTCGGGATATAGACATGACTTTTAATTTATTTTAAATACTTAAACTTAAAATAGAATAAATTCTCGTAGAAAAAATAATTGCACACCTGTGAACGCCAAATAAAACGTGCATAATAGTGCGGAATATTATTAGTACTTTATAAATTCACATTCGTTTTTTTATTGAGAAATCGGAAATAGCGTAAATTAGTACTTCTGGTCAACGGAAATTATCCAAAATTTAACAGAAGGTAGAGAATTAGATATTTTACTTATTTTTGAAATTTCATTTATCTATTTGAAATAGTACTCAAGTTATAGGCTTTTTAAAAATTCAAAGTAGAAAAAGAACTACTTCCGGTTATCGGAAATCGCTCAAAAGCTGATCAGGATAAAATACTTATATATGAAATTTCATCAACCTAGCTGTAACGATACTCAAGACACACACACACAGACATTCGGACAGAATTGCAAAGTCCAGTTTTTACGACTCGATAACGCATAAAACGCCAAAATAGTTATATATTTGTATTTATAAATTTTGCCTGATTAAAATAAGTCCTCTATACTCCGGATGTGATGAAGGACTGATTAATAAAACGGTGAAAACTGTAAAATTTCATGTTATTTTTGTGCACGATTACAATACTTTCTCTATACTTCGTTTTTACGAGAAAGTAAAAAATGACGTTATTTTAAAATAGATACTTTACGTTTTAATCTCCTATTGTTTAATTAGTTTAAATGGATCATATTCATGTTTTGTTTTCAGATTGTTTGATTGCATGTCAAATCACCATGATGAGTGTTTAGCGAATTTCAACTCAACGTCAAAACAAAACTTGATGTATTACTATAACGTGACTGGTGTAATTCCGTCAGAGAGAAATGGTACTGAAGCAAACATTTATGAATGTAAATTGGGTACTAATGCCCGTAACGGTTCCATTGAGTGCTATCCAACGCCAAGTTTAAACTGTTCAGATCTGAGTTCATACTACAGCTCAAATCATAAAGCAGTTGTTCTGAAAACGAATAACATGACCATGTATGGTGATGAAGTTGGTAACTTTTCGACGACATGTTCCGGTCAACTTCAAACGTTCTATTACATAGAACAAATAGCTCCAACATCAACCACAGCTCCTGAAACATTTTCGACAACTACTCAAACTGCTACTACATCAGACTTTATCTACAAATTGATTACCGACGAATCAAAGATACCCAGTTATGCAATGTATTTACTACCACCAACAAACTCGTCTAATGTAGAGCAAACCACAGATACCAGCACAGATACAACGTCAAGTACTGAATACACGAATACCATATCAGATATTCGTCCAACACTTACTGATATAATGAACACAACTATGTATAATTCTTATCACGATACCACATCTGTTAATTTATCAGGCACTTTTACTGACTTCATGTCATCATCAACAGCATCAACTATATTAGATACTAGTACTGCATTTGTCATTGTACCAACATCTACTAACATTACCACTTTAGCATCATCAACAGCAGTCATAACTACAACACCTACTGCTTTACAAACTCTATATCCCTACACAACTACTTCAGCAACAACAGCGTCTGACTCGAACACCACATCCACTACGTTTACAACTACACCCACACCTACTACCAGCTTTTCAATGTATTTGACCACCACACCTACACCTACCACACTTACCACACCTACAGCTACCACACTTACCACACCTTCACCTACCACACTTACCACACCTTCACCTACCACACTTACCACACCTATCACACTTACAATACCTACTACAACTACAACAACAAACACATCAACCAAACAAATTACCATATATACCTCTAGTTATACAACATCTTCATCTATTTTAGCAACCACGATACTGACCACCATCACTTTTCAAACATCATCATTATCAAACTACACAACTACTGCAACTACTACGACTGTTGTAAATACTGATCTAAAGCCAACAGAAAGCAACAAAACTACAACAATAATCATCAGTGTATGTGTTGTTGGTGCTGTGGTCATTGTTGTATGTATTATTGTTGTCATTCTTGTCTTGAGATGTCAAAAGAAAAGACGTGATCGATCACATATCAAATCTGTAGTTGTGACGTCAGCAGATCTTACTGAAAACAAAGTTATCAAAAACGTTAGTTTTAATGCACGATCATCACATGGATTAAATACGAACCATGCTGTAGTTACGACTCCTGTTGTCTTAGCGACGGATGAAAACAGAAGCATTTCGCAAACAGAACATCACATTGGATTTCTTGAAGATGGTTATATGGCGTTTACAAACGAGATCGAAAATGCCAAAACATCTTCAGATAACATTATAACAATTGACCAAAATGATGGTAATATAATGTCAAGTTATTATATAAACAGCACAGTCATTAATCAAATTCCGCCAATTAGTATGGAATCAAGACATCTTGACAGCAATCACTCCTCACGAACCGAATACGAAAGACTAGGGGAAGAACGACGTGATTTTCAAAACCCTTACCAAAAGTTACTGCCAGTAGAACAAGAACAACAACTCGTGCTGTCAGATCAAGAGTTATCTGGCCATACCTTCTCTCAACATGCTATAGGAGAGACAACTCAAACAAATGTCATAGCGACAGGTGCAGATAACTCAGAAAATATACAAGGAAGTAATGAAGTCGGGGTTACTTCCCTCGCACCACACATAGCAGAAAGTGGCGCTGACATTCAAAGAGATAGCATGGGCTATACTCTTCCATTAATTACTAAACACCAATACCTTGTGTAGTTTGAATCACTGTACAAGTCTTTAAAAGCCTCTGAGTCCACCCAGCACTGATGGGAAACCTGACTCATGTTAGTAAAGGCGGCGAGCAGTGTGCTGACCAAACTGTCCCCGCGTATACCGAGGTCACAGAAACAGGTGAATTCTACTTGCTTTATAGACAGTCAGGCTTTGAAGGAAACTTTACTTATTTTTCCCCACATGATTATTATATTATTCTAAATATTTTAAGAAAAGTCATATTTTATATTTTATAATCAACATACTTAGCTTATAGATTAAATATATAGCCATTAAATTTCGGTTTTCCGAATACGATGTATTAAAAATTGTGTTTCAGAATTAGTCTAACTTCTATATAAATATGTTTTACTTTAATTATAAATTATTACTTTTACATTGCATTGACAATTTTGAACAAATGATTTCTTATATTTGTTTTAAATATGTTCAGTGGGCCAACAGCGAGCATTACTTCTACCTCATGAGTACACTTTGAGTATTCTACAATCACATTATAGCTTTAATGCTGTTGTATATTTTATGTTTTATATTGGCATATAACATGGTGTGATGACGCACGTTAGACTGGTTATAAATAGGTCAAACAGAAAGGAGAAAATTAACAATATCCAGAGGTCAAGTAGACAAGTTATGTACATTAGTTAGAACAGGTAGGAACCAATGATAAGTGATATTCGAGATGACCGATCACGTGTGATGATCAGCTTACCAAGTGTCAGGAGTTAGCAGTAATTAGATTTAGCGCAATATGGCGTTTAGGAAAAAGTCGATTGTTAGAAAGAAGTTGAGCATATATATTGTGAAGACTAGTAGTTGATATAGTAGGCGTAAAGTGTAGGGCTGCGGAGTTAGGTAATTAGGATCAGGAATATATTTATTGACATATATATACACATTGACATTTGAACAGTGCAGGTTGTATCATTCATATACGTATTTCCCCCTGGAGAATTATGTACAGTATTCACACGATATATGAAGGGTCAATACCATCATATAGACCTACAGATTAAGATGTAAACATCCCATACATCACACTATGATCCCCCACCTAAGATATGTTGTTTAAGTGGCCTCAATATGTAGCAGGAACTTGTCTAGAACTACATAGTCAATACACTTAGCGCCACATGGAAATTCAGATTACCAAAATCAGGCAAATGTGTGTTTCACTCTGAAATCAACAACTATTTCAACATTTATTAATAAACCGCATCATCTTCAGAAAACAACTTTGCTTAGGATTACAGCTTGAGCATCAAGATTGTTTACAATTTCTTCTAATAAGTTAATGTTTTATATACATATGCTAAAATAATTAATAATAATTAATAAATTTAATTAACTATCTTTGTTTAAAAACAGTTCATTATCGTTTCAAGTGTGTTTTTGTTTTATATATCACTTACTATACATTTTCCATGTATTTAATTAGAAAACTTAGATTTGTTTGAAAAAATAATAAAATTAAACCATTGTTTGGTATCGACATATAGTTAAAAATAATATACGAGTGTATCTTTATAACATATCAATAAATACAAACATATGTATTGTTTGTTCATTTCATTTTTTTTAACAATACCTAAAAGTTGCATACGTTAGAGCAAACTATTTCAAAATTCACATACTAAAATATTTTGGAGAAGAAGAGCTTGCATTTTTTAAATAAGGAAAATGGCTATGAATGCCAAGGGTATATCAAGCAAATTGTATATGTTAATATCTAGCCGAAAAGCATATTTTCTAAGGCTAGCACATCTATGACGTTAATTTTGTAGTTCTAAGTATCAGGCGGCTAAGAATACGCAATGTAAGTCAATGTTGTTAATTAAATAAAACTGATGAATTTATATTTTGAAGTTTATTTTCTTTTTTGAAAATGTATTTCTTAACAGTGAAAATGTAGCAAACATATTTTTAATAAACCTTATAACAACAAATGTCGGTATATTTATATTTGGGAATTAGAAAAGATAACATTATTAGTTATGAAATTCTAAGTGTCAATACGGAACTGAGTACAGCAACATTTTTTATACATATAATTTTTTTTATTTTTTTTTTAAACTAGTGAATGTGAACATCATCACAACTCATAACACTTTAAATTAGTTGTAATTAGCCGGTATTATCACACCCGACAACAATGTGCACCGTGTGTCTTCATTACTAGTTCTTTTAATTTATCCCAATCGCTTCTTAAAAACCACTAACTTAAATTTTATTTAAACTTCCTGCTTCCTCTGTGTCAATAAAGGCCCCAAAAGAGCTGCGTTGCTCTCTGTTTAATTTAGCCTCAGGTAAAAAACCCTTACAGTTACTTACAGAAGAACAATTCGCGCTGTCTGACCAAGAGTTATTTTTAAACATACTTTAGGAAAGATAACTCTACATAATATCAACATAGAGTGATTGGGTAGATAACGAATGCTATCAACAATGATTGATTACATAGAATTATGATGCCAACATTATTCTAAATGGTTTCAGATTATGCTTGTCTACATTCTGCATTTCAATGGGTTTGTTTTTAATTAGATGATTTTTATATCCAATTATAAACAGTAACAAAACAACATTGTTTTATTATTATACACACTTCATTTTTATCATTTATTTGTTAATTAAACATTTCTGCTCATTGCGATTTAACATTCGTAGTTCGATGTTTGTTTCCGATTTCATTTTCGTGAGAATGTGGGCCAGCTGATCACCATGATGAAGCTGCTAGTTACTGATACAAATGGATTCTAGAGAATTTTATTAGAGTAACATGAAAAGAAAAGTTAGAAGCATCACCAAACAGATGACCACGAAACACTTCAGATACATTTCAAAATCATGACGGTGAAGAAATATGAAACATGGCACAAGTTCTCTCAGAAGAAACAGATTATGCCACACCTGAAATAATGTGTTTGACACCACACCATTGTAGGACCAGCAAATAAAATCTACAAGTTGTGGACAATTATTAGGATATAAAAGATACTAATATAATAATATAATTGGCTCTCTTGTTGTAAAGTGATAGTTGTAATAGTTGTATGAGAATTGCGTAAATAATTAAATTTTGAAATTCAGTTTTGTAAAATAAAAAAGTGCTATGAACAATTTTGTTAGCCATCATAATATATGTTAGTGATGTAAATATTTGTAAATATTCCAGCAGCTAGAATACATGGTTATTATCTGGCAGATATTTTAGTAATCACAATAATGTAAGGGGGTAAAAGTGTATTTTGCCATGCAGTGCTGCTAAAAGAACAACTATACTCGACAATTTATGTGATTGTATAAGTTTTTTAGCGCAATTTCCATTCTGGAGAATTGCGTTTAATAACTCGTCTTTTCTGGGAATGGATGGATGTGTGTTCTCAGCTTTAAGTCGTATCTCCTCCTCAACGAAGCAATATCGAGGACAAGTTCCAAAGCAATTATGTTAAGCAAGTTACGAGGATGATAGTGGGCTTTTCTTTATAGTTATTTAAATAGTAGTCTATAATTTATTTTCTACTTTTTAGTGCATTATTACATAAAAGCTTGTTATTAAAACGTTTTTTATGAATTTTTTTATAAATCTCTTAGCTACCAGAATCTTACAACAAACAAGTTCAAGAAATACACACTTGTGTCAATCCCATTAGGAAAACTGCTATAGCACCTTATTTTAGCTACAATATTCTCATGTGATAAAAAAATAAAGATATGTTTTACTAAGTTACTGATAATACTTTCCAAATTTACCTAAACAGATAAATAATGGTACTTATTGTGTTAGGTCCAAAATAATGGTTAGGATTATAATGCAATTAAATAATGTGATCATTGATTTCAATACAAAGCATCCAACACAAGTTTTGGAAGTTTATCTCTTTCTTATGAGTTTCATATATAAATACATTTTTATGTGTATTAGTAGCATGTGAAAATTACCAATATGTGTTGAAATGCATATATTATTGATATGTTTAATAAATCTTTAGTTTGTACTGCCAAAAAAAAAAAAGTAGTTCGATGTTTGTTGTTTGACATTAAAATGGAGCTTCAGGAAGAATTCTACAATTGTCCACAGTATATTGAAACGGCATCAGGAAATAAAAATAGACGACAGTCAGTTTTGTGTGGCAGCCAGAACATTGTCATAATAGGAAACACTATTGTAATGACTGGATATGTCATTAGAGGAGCCCTGGTTAATGTGAGAATAGGGAGACATTGTATTATCAGTAAAAATGCTGTAATATGACCAGCTTTTAAATTTTTTTCAAAAGGTGTGGCATTTTTTCCTCTTCATATTGGTGACCATGTATTAATTGAAGAGGATTCTATAGTCAATGCTGCTCAAGTAGGATCATTTGTGCACATAGGAAAAAACTGTGGCATTGGTCGAAGATCACTACTCAAAGATTGCTGTGCAACAGCAAACAACACAGTTGTACCTCTGGAACCGTTGTTCCACCTTTCACACTCAGTATCACCAGGGAAAATGACAGTTGATCTACCTGACTGTACACAGGATGTAATGATAGACATTACAGTCAATTACTACCAACACTTCAAGCCCCATGGGAAAGCAAAATGAAAACAATAATTTATTAACATCTATCAATTTCTCCTATTTATTACAAGCTTTTATTTAACTCACTTCCTCGTCAGTCTGTCTAGACGGAAACGCAGGAGTGAAAATTCGGACCGTTCTACTTGACCGATACGATTCACAGTTGGCACGTGGGTCAAGACATGAAGACAATGCAATCTGAAACTAAATTTGACTTAATTGGATGCCTAATTGATTTTTTATGAATTAATTAAAATTTGGACCGAATTAGTAGGCATGTCTAGCCAACCACACCACACGCGTCATCAATAGCTGCGCCATCACGACCACGTAATGGCTGCGTTCAAAAACCATTGCGCGCCTACTGAACGTGATATTCAGTAGGCGCGCAATGGTTTTTAGTCATGTAACTCTA